TTGACTTTACTGCTGTCATTAATCCTGAAAGTTTATGTTTGCATTTTATGGCAAATTGAATAGGAAATTAATTTTTTTCTGGATGTTGTAATTAGCTTCCAAAATGGGGGAGAAAAAAAAGCAGTTCAAAACATTCAGCAAAATTGTTTTTCCTAAAAAGATTACTGAAACATAAATGTCATTGAGCTTCTAATAGGAGATAATGTTTTTCATATGATACTAGCTCTGCACACACTTCACAGCTGATTGCTTTTGAGACTGAAATACCTGATTTCAGATCATAGAATCATAGAATCAAAGAATAGTTAGGGTTGGAAAGGACCTTAAGATCATCTAATTCCAACCCCCCTGCCATGGACAGGGACACCCCAAACTAAACCATGCCACCCAAGGCTTTGTCCAACCTGGCATTTAACACCTCCAGTGATGAAGTATTCACAAATTCCCTGGGCAACCCATTCCAGTGCCTCACCACCCTCACAGTAAAGAACTTCTTCCTTATATCCAATCTAAACTTCCCCTGTTTCAGTTTTAACCCATTACCCCTTGTCCTATCACTACAGTCCCTAATGAAGAGTCCCTCTCCAGCGTCCTTGTAGGCCCCCTTCAGATACTACAGCAGAGAAGGCTGCTATGAGGTCTCCACGCAGCCTTCTCTTCTCCAGGCTGAACTGCCCCAACTTTCTCAGCCTATCTTCAATATGGGAGGTGCTCCAGTCCCCTGATCATCCTCATGGCCCTCCTCTGGACTTGTTCCAACAGTTCCATGTCTTTTTTATGTTGAGGACACCAGAACTGCACACAATACTCCAAATGAGGTCTCACAAGAGCAGAGTAGAGGGGCAGGATCACCTCCTTCAACCTGCTGGTCATGCTGCTCTTGATGCAGCCCAGGATACAGTTGGCTTTCTGGGCTGCGAGCGCACACTGAAGCTGGCTCATGTTCATTTTCTCATTGACCAGCACCCCCAAGTCCTTCTCCGCAGGGCTGCTCTGAATCTCTTATTTGCCCAACCTGTAGCTGTGCCTGGGATTGCTTCGACCCAGGTGTAGGACCTTGCACTTGGCATGGTTAAACTTCATGAGGTTGGCATCAGCCCACCTCACAAGCGTGTCAAGGTTCCCTCTGGATGGCATTCCTTCCCTCCAGCATATCAACCAAACCACACAGCTTGGTGTCATCGGCAAACTTGCTGAGGGCACACTCAATCCCACTGTCCATGTCAGCGATGAAGATGTTGAACAAGACCAGTCCCAACACCGATCCCTGAGGGACACCACTCGTTACTGGTCTCCAGCCGGACATTGAGCCATTGACCACAACTTGTTGTGTGCGGCCATCCAGCCAGTTCTTTATCCACAGAGTGGTCCATTCATCAAATTGATGTCTCTCCAATTTAGAGACAAGGATGTCATGCAGGACAGTGTCAAATGCTTTGCACAAGTCCAAGTAGATGCCATCAGCTGCTCTACCCCTGTCCATCAGTTCCGTAGCCCCATCATAGAAGGCCACCAAATTGGTCAGGCAGGATTTCCCCTTAGTGAAGCCATGCTGGCTGTCACCAAGCACCTTGTTGTTTTTCATGTGCCTTAGCATGCCTTCCAGGAGAATCTGCTCCAAGATTTTGCCAGGCACAGAGGTGAGACTGACTGGTCTGTAATTCCCTGTGTCATCCATTTTCCCCTTCTTGAAAATGGGGGTTATATTTCCCTTTTTCCAGTCATTGGGAACTTCACCTGACTGCCATGATCTTTCAAATATGATGGACAGTGGCTTAGTAACTTCATTTGACTTCATTATTATAGGTCCTGGCAACTGACCGGGTGTGTTGGGATGGAATGATGCCCCCTCCCCCAACACATCAAGTTTAAAGCCTCCTTGACCAGCCTGGCAAGCCTCCTACAAAAAACGTCACCAGTTCCACCAGCCCCCAGTAGACCTGGCCTACTAACTTGGGTCCTGTGTTCAAGACACCCAAACCCCTGAGTATGGCATCACCCTTTCAACCATTTATTAACCTGGCCAATCCTCCTAGCCTTTTTGGGGTCCTCCCCTGTATCCTGGAGAATTGACAAAAAGACTATCTGAGCTCCAGAGCCCCTAACCACCTTTGCCAGGGCTCTGTAGTCCTTCCTTATGTTGTTCAAGCTACTGCTATCTGTATCACTAGCACTCACATGGGTCAGTAGGAGTGGGTACTAGTCAGTGGGGCAGTGATGATTCCCTTGGTTTTCTGGATCCATATAAAGAAGAGCTAAGGCTTCAGTTCAGGTTTTGCACCTATTCTAATGAAAACATTTCTGTCAAAGGTGTTTTTACCAACTGCGCATGTGGCACTGGGAAAGCTGGCAGGAAATCAACATGCATCTTGCAGACACATTAAAATTGCTTTTAGAAAAGTACAGCGTGAGCATGAAGCCAAAGTAAGTCTTTGTAGCTCTTACAAGGAGAGCCATCTGTCCACATGGGACAGGATCAATTTCAAATTGAGTGTGTAGACAAGAAATTACCTTGAGACTTTATCTTCTAATCCTCAGTTGAAGTAAACAGACAGCAATAGTGTGAGCAGTGCAAGACTGGGTCTTCAAAACAAAAAGCAGTCGGAAGTATGCATTGTTTAAGATAAATATTCTCCTAAAGCGTGTGTTATTTAGATTAAATATTCTGGTAAAACTATCTTTAAAAACCCATAAAAGTGTTTAATGCCTCCTGGATATTTGTTAATGGTTACAGGTAATTTCAGGTATTATGTGGGTTCAGAAAAAATGGTACAAGGTATAAGATCAGTGCTGGTCCCAAAAATACTGCAAAGAGATTAATTATCAAATACTATTTGGATAATAGATAAAGAGGTAAGAAGTTTATGATCTAACTCATTGCATTAGCAAGTGTTCATATGTTGGATTTTTTCCTTTTCCAGCTGAGAATAAGAAAATTATGATTAACTTCCAGGTAACAGAACAATCTGGTTTAAAGATTCTCTATTTAAATGGTTTTACTTGGACATCCTAATAAAAATACTGATTCTAACCTCACATATTACAAAGTTTAAACTGGACAAGTTTAAATTACAAGTGATCTATTTTTCAATGGTTTTATGACAATCACATACTTGAAAAGCAAATTAATGCTGCATCAGATGACACAGAATGAGCATCCCATGCCTAAATACAGAAAGGTCAGTCTAGTCAAGTGATTTTTGTTAGCTTTGGAGCTATTTCTGTTCATCAGAGGTATGAAGGACAGATGCTTCTCTTCTGTTTTCCAATGGCTTTTTACATATTTGAAACTAGGTTTTATTTGAAATTGTGCAGTTGATCATTCCTGCCTAAGTATAGTTCTTTGCCTTTGTGCTTACTGAATTACATCCCAAGTTTTTCTGACCATTATCCAGACTAATTAGAAATGAGTAGGCAAAATGAGGTAGAAATAAGTAGAAATTAGTAGGCAAGAAATTCAGTCCTTAACAACAGGCCAAACTGGGAGGTAGTTGGTTTATCTCACACAAAATGGCACTAAGGTAGCAGGAACTGGACGTGATACTTGGGTCAGTAGTGACCTTAGGCAGGAAGCAGTTGAGCCTCTGCTCAGCTTGTGTTCATTAGGAATCTAACTATCCACTTCACGAAAGTTGCTAAGGGGAGTATTTCTACAGTATGCAACAATTTCAAGTCCTTGAGTTTTCAGTTTGAGAAAAATTATGCGCAGAAAATTTTTATTGGTCTGGTAAAGTCAGGACTGATAGTAATTTTCTATGGCTTTATTTTTTTTTTTGTTTGAATTCATATTAGCATTAAAGGTAAAAATACAATTTAAACAGTGCTGGAAACTCCCTATGTTAAATAACCTCTATAGTCTGTATACAGGTTGCTTATAGTTAGGTATAGAGGTTAAATAATCTCTATAGTCTGACCTTAGGTGGGGAAAGACATCTTTGCTTCAAACAAATTAGTATTTCCTCACAATGTTCTGTACTGACAAACACTGGAACCTCTATGACATACACAGTGTAAGTTATGTGAAAATACAAAAATTAGCCATTGTACATACTGGTAAATAAATGTATTTAATGCAGAATACCAGAAAGTTTCTTTTAAAAAGTTTTCTTTGTAAAAATACATTCTTGCAGGTTTATCTGAAACACCATATAGATCTGAACAAAGTGAGTGCCTGACTAATCAAAACAGGTCAAGACAGTCTGGTGTGCAAACAAACATGACATATTACAGGCATTATGAAAGAACATGACTGGTTAAATATTAGCTCTCAAGATTAAGTTTTATTTCTCAATTTTGATATTTCCCACCTTTTTAAACACTATATAATTTAAAGGAAATCTTGACCACAACATACTCAAATTCTATTGTACACCACTGGTTTGTTTAAGAAATACAAAGAGATTAATTAGAGGATGTTTACTTTGAGAATAAAAACCCCAAACCTAGCTCAAGTGCTTTTTCATTTTATGGGGCTGAAACATTCATGTAGCGCTTACATTTTCTGCTTCTACAAGTTTAAGTAAACAAGTCAGAAACAAAGTTGTGTTTTTCTTCACAGGCAGATACAGTCCCAGTGCCTTCTAAAATAGGTATTTCTATAGCTGTTCACAAATACTGAATCTTTCAGACTGTCATTATTTGAATGAAGGCAGTATTGGGAAATACAAAAACAGATCAGTGCCTGCTAGGAGCTATTAAAACCCAAGTACCTCAAAAGTAATTACTTTTTGAGATACTACTAAAGGTGTACTAAACTATAATACATCCTCCACAGATATTTTTTTCCCTTGTTCCGCTACTCTTAGGAAACTGTTCAAAAAGGAGAAACAAAAGCCCAGGTCTCGTAATCTCTGCTTGAATCAATCCTACTGGAAAGTCAGCTCAAAGGAAAAAGGAAAAGAGATGGTTGTCTGTGCTAACACAAAAACTTACATAGAGAACATTCAATAAATTTCTTTAAAAAACCTTTCCTACATAAAGAATTTACTTGTTAAAAAAATTACAAGGGTTTCAAATGGCAGAGTCTTTTAGAGATATTTTGCAATAATTAACTCCAAGATAAATGAATATAATGATTTATATTGTCAGTGTGAACAGCGGGGTTCACAGAAAACTGGCTAATCCCCACATTTCACCAATAGAAAATGTTCGAGATTATGTAGGTGTGTCTGTGTGTGCACAGCACATATATTTGCACATATAACATTGGAAAATGTTGGGAAAATCATCAATTAAACCCACTCCTAATACTGAGAATCCTACCATACTGGGTATTTATGTGAACTCCCTTTGTATTTTGTGGAGCTCCTCCACATCTGTAAATGAAGCTTGTTTACACTTTGGTTTGGTTTTCTGTGACTGCACTCCTTGGATTACATATTCCTTTTTCTGGGCTTACGGCTCAGTATATTTTCTTATATGCAATGCAAAACCGTGCGAAGTTCATGTAACTGAAAGAGACACAGGTCCCGATTTTTGCCTTCAGGAGGAGCTGTTTCTTCAGTATTACGAGAGCTGTATCTTAGTGCTTTCAGTTCTGCAGTTTCTTTTCTAAGCTTCCATGCAGGTCTTTGCAGCGGTGTCCGCTGAGGGGTAACAAGCACACAGGAGAAACCTTTCATTATTAAATAGCAGGATGACAGTAAGCATGTAATAGTTGCGTTGCTTAGGGATAAACCCATCCACATAACAAGTATGTCTCCTGAGGAGACAGGTCATGCTGGAAAGGGCCCTGCTGGGGCACAGACCTCCTCCTGCTGTGCTCAGCCAGCCCAGCCTGCTGGCAGCAGCTTCTCACCCGCTGCCTGCAGCGGGCTCCTCAGCGAGACGGCAAGCGGGGCCAGCAGGGTGTCAGTATCTAATTTCTGCAAAACAAACTGCATTCACCATTTTCTGTGAACCGGATTTTGCAGAACATATTTACAAATGTTTGCAAAGTGTTCCAAAATGAAGACTTTTGAACTGATGACCCTTTGGCCAGAATCCCGGCAGGGACCAGTGATCATAACACCAATGGCAGAGACGGTTTCCACCACAGTTTATGATGTAGGGAAATACTTCAACCTTCCAAATGTTCAGCTACCAGTCTACAGCAAGTCACAGGGCTGTGTAGATACCCGTAGTGTAGAACCACGAAGGCACATTGCTGACAGTCCAATGAGAACACCAGTTGCTGCTGCGATTCCCCAGCTGTTGGAATGCTTGCCAGTTTTTGCCTTTAACCTGTAGGATATTTCTGTGTTATGGTCAACATAGTTCAGTTAAAGTGAACTAAATATTTCTGAGAATACTTAAGTACTTCCAGGAAATAGATAACTAACCAGCCCCTGTAGTCCATCAGCACACCTTAGTTTAATAAGTCATCAGTTACTGAAGATTCTTGCACAATTTTGTGCCTTTGGTGCTGAGTCTGCATGTCTCACAGTACCTTACACTATTTTGCTTCTTATCGCTATACCTTAAATATATATATTCTTGTTAAAATGATTTCTGAAAATTAACTGGTGGTGGCATCTAGCAAAAGAAAGCTCTTTCAAATACCAGACATGCTCCAAAAATACATATTCTTCACCTTTTCCTCTCTTATTTGTCATGCCTGTCAGCGGTTTTGGGTTGATGGTCTTGGAAATTGAGCCCTATTACAACCTATTCTCTGGGTTGTAAAACGAGTCTAGACTGCAAAACCTAAAAGCAGACTTTACTATAAAAATCACTGTTGAATATAGTTCTTTGAGCATTGATAAAGTTCAGCACTGTCATTTAGATGGAACACCTGAAAATCTTAACATAAGAAGTTCAAATACAGTATTTTGTATTAGTGCTGCTCTTGGTGTTTGTTAGACGTTACACAGCATGTTAAGGACTTGGCATCCTCTCCTGCCGCCATCAAAATAGAGGTTCATCTTTAAGCACATGAATACTGTCAAGGAATGCATGTAAAGGGTTTAAGTGTTTTGCTGGATTGAAGCCAGGGACTCAATATCTCACAGTATTGACCTCTCCTGGGAGGAGAGAGGATCTGCAACTGACTTTGGTTCTGTGCTTGGTGAGAATCCAGCATCACAAATGGTAAGTGTCTGCCCTCAGAAGCCGGACAGTACTATGTGTATTTAAACGTGACCACAATGCAGGTGCAGTAAGTACAGCCAGTAATTTCACAGAAATGCTGCAGATGTTTTAGGCTGTGTGTGCACTATGAGCTATAGCCCAGAAGAGCATGGATGGGCTTGAATGAGCTACTTGGCATAGTGAAGGCAATCAGCTGTCTTGTAGTGTGTGTGTAAATCTTTGTGTAGTTTCTTCACCCAGCAAGACAATGCCTTTCACAGAGCATGTCATGTGAAAAGTTCACCCTTAGCTCCTAGGCATTGTCATACCGTGGCTGTAGCCAAGAGAAGTGAACTGGGTTGGATTTCAAAGGAGACTCCATCAAAGCACAGCTATTTCCTGGGACGCCCTGTCTTTTTGATGAAGCTAAAATGAGTCACTGCAACTTTCTTGCTTCATTAAGGAAAAATATTTCACATTAATGTTTTGTATCACAGCCTTGCTCCTCATTAAATAGGTAATTTTTCCAGTTACAATATGGATGCAACACAGATTACAATCAGAGGACCAGATTTATACCTCTGACTTCCACAACCTAACGAACGCTTCACCCACATTGGAAGAAACTGGGCTAACAGTACAGTATTGTGGTTATCAGTGGGAGCAGGCAAGCATTATTTTGTCATAAACAAACATCACTACACCAACATATTTGTGGAGGAATCCATCTCACCTAATTTGAAGTGTCAAAGGTTTAATTATGTGAATGTACGATCATGTTGAGGGCTCCTTTCTTAGCCTAGAGAGTGATCGCTATATAAAAAGGACAAGGAACTGTTGGAACAAGTCCAGAGGAGGGCCATGAGAATGATCAGGGGACTGGAGCACCTCCCGTATGAAGACAGGCTGAGAAAGTTGGGGCTGTTCAGCCTGGAGAGGAGAAGGCTGCGTGGAGACCTCATAGCAGCCTTCCAGTATCTGAAGGGGACCTATAAGGATGCTGGAGAGGGACTCTTCATTAGGGACTGTAGTGATAGGATAAGGGGTAATGGGTTCAAACTTAAACAGGGGAAGTTCAGATTGGATATAAGGAAGAAGTTCTTCACTGTGGGGGTGGTGAGGCACTGGAATGGGTTGCCCAAGGAAGCTGTGAATGCTCCATCCCTGGCAGTGTTCAAGGTCAGGTTGGACAAAGCCTTGGGTTGCATGGTTTAGTGTGAGGTGTCCCTGCCCATGGCAGGGGGGTTGGAACTAGATGATCTTAAGGTCCTTTCCAACCCTAACTATTCTGTGATTCTGTGATTTTGTGATCGCAATGCCTGTGGGCTGTGCTCCAGCTCCCTGGAGGAGGGTATGCTGCCAACGCTCTGAGGATCAGACATAATGAACTTAGTGTCAGTGAGTCACCTTGAGGTAAGATGAACTCTGCCTTGATGGCAGATACAGCTGTGACAGCTGCCTGGATGATGAAAGATTTTAATTAAGCCGGGTTGCTGGGCCTAAAAAACAACAGCTTGGTTTTACATGCCCTTCTTTTTATTATCAGAATTCCCACTTTAGCCTCCAAAATAAACTGCGGTTTCTCTTTCCATGGCAGAAATCATAAAATCCCCATGTACATGAAGCCACCAGTGCTGTGCTTAACTAGTGCAGACTAGGGGCCATGTGAAAAGCTTGTGCCACCCTGAACCCCCCCTGGAGAGCTGAGATACCAGCAAAGACACTTTCTTGTTTAATTTTATAACCAAGCATGTTGCTTGGTTTTCTTTTTCTTTTGACTTCTATGAACAACAGTAGCTAAACCACTTCCACCATGTCTGGTTGGTATTTGGTAGGATTCTGCTGAACAAGATGTGATTGAGCCACACTTTTCCACCTTGTCTGTCAGCAGGTGGAAGTTCAAACACCAGAGTAGGTGATAGTGTCCTAGCACCAGTATTTACAAAGAGAGAAATAAATAAGTTGCTAAACCTCAAACCATATATCTTGTCCAGTTCAAGAGTCCATTTTTTGCAAGGGTGCCAAGTGTTTTTGTGCCTGTGGCCTTCTTTTGAAAGGACAGACTGTTTGAGAAAGACTCCCTCTATTTGTCCCCACCATTTGTTTTTAAAGGCAGACTCAAAGATCTTCACTGATTCTTGACTGCAGCAGGAACACCTGGGAGGGAGGGGCAGAAATGAAGAACATACCTAAACTTTCCCAGTCAAGTCTGGTTGTGTAGCTGATATTTACCCTACAGATATACTGTCATATGCATATCACATGTGCACATGCCACATGCATTACTTAACACACCTGGTTCAGGTAAAGAGTGTGGCCAACTGACAGGATCTACATGCAAAACTCCAGGCAAGGATGTCTTTGGTGGATAATGGCTCTTCATGCAATACAGGCATCTCATTGCATTAGAGGGTTACATTTCCACTTAAAGCCTGCAGGTACAATGTGGGAAGGTCAACCATGAGCTGACGAGGCTAATAATGTTATCAGTCTAGCTGTCTAATTAGGTGTTAGAGGAGGATTATGAAAGTATGCACCCTGTGAGGAAAAAAAAAAAAAGATTGTGCAAGCTTATCTGCATTACATTATTATTACAGCTGCTGGAAAGTAGTGATGGACACAGCCAGAAGCCTTTCTATATAAGCTAACAATGATGTTAAGTAATCTCCAAACAGCCCAAACATATTCGCATAGGGATGCTGGGGAGGGACTCTTCATTAGGGATTGTAGTGATAGGACAAGGGGTAATGGGTTAAAACTTAAACAGGGGAAGTTTAGACTGGATATAAGGAGGGACTTATTTATTGTGAGGGTGGTAAGGCCCTAGAATGGGTTGCCCAGGGAGGTTGTGAATGCTCCATCCCTCATGGTGTTCAAGGCCAGGTTGGCCAGGGCCTTGGGTGACATGGTTTAGTGTGAGGTGTCCCTGCCCATGGCAGGAGGGTTGGAACTAGATGATCTTAAGGTCCTTTCCAACCCTAACTATTCTATCATTCTATGATACTCATGCGTTTTGCACTTTCACAGGAAGGCCAGCAAAACTCTGCACTTCTCTCTTTGGAAGTCCTGTTAAGCTCAAATCCTACGAGAGGGGTGAGAACTGCAGATAATCTGTGAGGAGCCTGCAATGTGGAGGAGTTCTCATAAAGATAAAACCAAACAAACAAACAATCAAAAAAATTTAAACTTTCAAAGAGGTTTAATAGAAGTATATTTAGCTAATTTCTAAAATGCAGTAATCAGAAACTGTTTAATCACATTTCATGCGGGGGTTTTTAAGAACATTGATGTCCATGCAAGTAATCCTGTGCTGCTGAGAAAATTATGAAATAGCAAAAAATCAGTCACAACTTTTCCTTCCTCTCTCCAAACAGAAAAGCTAAAATATCTCCTCAAACTTAGAAAAGCCCAGAAACAGTCGAACAATGTAAGTTTGCTGAGTCATGTAGTCAAGTACTAAGGTATGACGAGTCACAGCTGCTTCAAAGGCAGGGGGCTAGAACTATATGAGTTTTAAGGTCCCTTTCAACCCAAACCATTCTGTGATTCTATTAAATCCCGAAGTGTAGATTTTAGAAGGCCTTTTTTTGTTTGTTTAGCAATAACCACATGAGGGCAGTAAGCCCTATCCTCAACTGACGGAAGTATTTTTTTCCTCGGGTTCTGAACATGTTGCTTTATGTGCGTGTTCAGTAACATGCAGCTGCTGCTTGCACACTAAGGACCTAATGTGAGACAATGCAGTACCTCACCAAGTATTCAAAGTGAGAATGAGTGTGAAATCCTGAATCAAATTCAGGATTCATGAAAACAAGACCATTTATTAGGGACCTATTATTGTGGCAATTTTAGCATGGCATTCTTCTAGAGCATGTATTGTTCCCACATGAATTCTTTTTAAAAAGTCTTTTTTGTGTATTTGTTTTTAAACTCAAAATCTGCCTGTATCAAGTCATATTAGCTTCCTATGAAATCCACTTAAAATCAGTCTCTGGTAGAGTCATCAACACTGCTACAACCATCAGGCTTGCATTAGGATATCCTGAGAAACATTGTTCTACTGTTTTCATGGGTTTTGGTAGAAAGCAGTCTTTCCTTGCATTCTGTGATGTTTCACAATATTTCTCTGGTACTCCGCATTTGAAATAGTTCAAAAAAGTCTTTGAAGGAGAGGTACACTTTCAGTCCCTTCTGTGACCACTTCAATTTCTTCTATATTGTCATATACAAGAACATTGAGACATTTCAGTTCTGTATACTTTTAATAATTCCATATACTGATGGCTTTCTTATCTTCGCCATTTTTTCACTGAGCCTTCTGTTCCTTCATTAAACTGCAGGAACATATTTCTGTGTGGTGGTATTCTAGTAATTGATTAAGTCATGTCTGTGATTGTTAAATCCATTAGTTTCCCAGGCACAGATACAAACTAGACTTATTCTTACAGATGAAGGTGCAAAGCTCCAACATGCAGAACATGCGGCTTTGCTATAGTCATTTCCTCACTGACAGGATTTTGATAAGCAGCCTGGCAGATAGGGCTTACTTAGGAAGCTGACTTACCTACAGATTAGTAAATAGCCCACAGAGTCACGTGGGTTATAATTCTTCAGGTCCTGGAAAACTTGTTTGTGAAACAAGTTGATCTGTGCTTCCAGTTACCTTTCCTTATCTGTTCTTAGTGCTTCATGTGGTTTCAATGTGTGGTTGGAATACACAGAATTTGTGCTTGGTGTATGACCACAATAACTGAGCAGAACTTCACTGAACTGAACTACTCACAAAGTCCAGTGGATGCCCACTTAAGTTCAGAAAGTCAGCTGAACAGCACAAAAGTATTTGTGCATTGCTCGGTTTACTTTCTGCTGCCCATCTTAATAGGAGCTGAAATTAACGCTGGCAAATAGGTTAGTGAAAAAAATCACTGTCTGTAACAATGCTTATTACTCACTAGGATGGTTTGATGAACATGAACTTGTTAAACATGACTAAATACTTCAATTTCTCCAAAACCTGAAAAATATTATAATGCTTTTCTAAGATATTTACCCACAGAGCCAATCTTTCATCTGCTTATGTTTATGTAAAGAGTACCACAAACTTCACTGCCTCCTGCACTAAGTGTAAACCACTTCTAGACTTGCTTTGCTTTTAGATATGTAGACACAACAATGTTCTCAGGAAATATTAAATTATAAAAATATTATAAAAATTTGCATTTTGCCAATGAAGCAAGGAAGAAAGACCAGCATGATGATTTGTTCTGGAAGGGGCTTCCTTGTGCAGCGAGCAGAATAAATACAAAGAGCAGAACAGAAGACTATGAGAATAAAACAACCTTAAACTGACTTTTGAACCTAGCATGTCTCCCGCCTTTGAACAATTATCCTCTCTAGTAAAAACCAGCCATTGACTCTTTGTTGGTGTCAGTTTCTGATGAGGTAAAAAAAAAAAAAGTTAAAAATATAGACCCTGGGTTTGCAGCTGTAGTTTGAGCATTATAATTGGGATCCATCTGTTGTGACACTGTATTTAAAGCACATTATTGGACAGTCCACTTACTAGTTCATCAAACTATGCTGCTTCACTCTTGAAGAGCCAGGTCTCGTATCAGGATGTTCTCATTGTGTCATAGGTATTTATGAAATTTCAGCATAACTGTGGCTATTGCCCATTTGGGGTACTATTTGTGAGTATCTGACACTGCTTTGTCAGCTGTGCTGCTCCACTCACCCCCAGCAATGTTCCTGGAGACCACTAGAGAGGTATGGCAATGTTTGCTTGCCTTTTAAATGCATGTGTTTTCTCTCTTCCCACTAAGGATGCAAGAAGTTTTAGTATCATCAAGGCCAGCAAAGACAACAAGAGGCTGGAGGTGAGGAAAGTGGATAGCAGAATCTCCAACAAAGTTCATACAGGCAGAGTGAGTAACTAAAATACCTTTATGCATTAGCACAATGAATCAATAAAGTTGCTGTGATATTTCCTACCACAACAAGTACGCAAGCATACCAGAGTATCTGATGAGGAAGACGGTCAGGTGTGGAGGATGCTGAGGCCCAACAGTTGTGGCAAGGACAACACAGAGCATCATGCCATGCTAGACCTGCCCCTAGCAGCAGCCTACACACCACTACTGCAGGTGAGGAGCTGCTTCAGTAACTTGGATGTGCAGTATAACTATGCAGGAAGACTTTAAACTGCTTTTCTTCCAAGCAAACATTGTCCATGCCCAAGCTGCCTCTTACTTTCTCATGTCCTGCTCCAAGTTCTGGAGAATCTTTTTCCCTCTTCTTACCCACTCAGCACTCTGCTTTGCTTGAGTTGGTGGTACTATAGATGTTAAAGGAAATACATTGCAAATAAATCATGCTTTATTATGGCTGCAGATACAGAAAGATAAGGAAATTCAATAGAAAAGGTACAAAGGTAGGTTTTAGTAGTGTGTATGTGTGCATTTGGCTTTGACTGAAGACAAGACTTGCATATGCGGCAAATCTACAGGGTCTTAAAATCTCTTGGCTATGCATTATACATCTCAAAAGTCTGTGGAATTGAGCTCATATAGCAGCCTGTTTATGGAAATCTACTGCTGCGATAAGACAGCAACTACAACACAGAGAATTTTTACTTTGGCATGAATATTATACTGGAAGTTAGCTACATTTCAGTCTTTGTGTAGTTGAAATACCCTTTTCTTTCCTGAAACAGTAGTTGGGCACTATGGGTCTATGTTTGATTGCTGTGACTATGGTGTCCTTGCAGACCTACATGGGAAACAAACAAGTTCTGCTTCCATCTGATAGATTACAGCAGGAAATAGTATATACAGTATCTGTTGCCCAATAAGGGGGAAAACCAAAGAAAAAAAAATAAATCTGAAATACAGACTCCTTCAGTTACACCTCACAAGTGAAACTGTTAAGGAAAACTGTGCTATCAGTTTGTGAGCAACTGACAGTCTGAGTGAAAGATTTTCAAGTGACAGTGGGTTTTCCTAAATATTTCACTAGTGCACATAACCGTGTCTTCCCAAAAGCATCTGCCAGATCCTTCAATCTGAACAAATGAGCCTCTAAATAACTTTCCAACTAATCTTTACAAAAACCTCTACTTTTTGCTAAAAAAATAATGGTATTTTGAAGCCAGAGATTTTTCTTTGTCAAAGTTTATCAGAGTTTAGGGAGTATCACAAACACAACCACTATTAGGTTGCAACATTCACCATGGCTTTTTCTAATACACATTGACCTTTATATTGTAGTTTTCACTTGTTCCCTTACCTTAGAAAACCTCCAGCTACATACTTTCCATTCAAAGTCTGGCCAGCCTCCATTTTGCTACTGTTAACATAACCTTAGGTACACACTGTGAGGATTGTAAGTCATGTCCTTCCTACCTAGGATGTCATTCATCGTCTCACATCTGGGATGATACCAGGAGATTCGTATTCCTCACCCAACGTGACCGTGAGGACAAAGACAGAAGTCAGAAATACACAGAGTTAGAGAAAAAAAAGTGAAACATTAGAAGGAGAAACTAAAACCAACATATCTAAAATTCGGGGGGGGGGGGGGGGCAGATTTGTCGCTTGCTGTCCCTATCAAACAGTCTCTTGATACATCCCGTTCTGAGTGGAGGATCCCCCACAAGCTTGCCCAGAAGGGCTATCTCATCTGTATGCCTTGGCACTACTATTCATTTTACTCTTAACGGTCAATACATGTTAAAAATAACTTGGAGAGATAACCAGTTGCTTGGAATATGGTGCTTTGGGTATGCAGATATCACTTAATTTCTTTTGGACTCTTCTGCCGAAGGTGCTCAGTCACTTTTATAAAATCTCAATGGAGTCTACCCATGGTTGCTTGATTGTAAACTTAGCATTTCCTGAAAAACTTAAGTATCTAGACATTTTGGTAAGCAGCATATTAGACCTATCCCCTTCTCAATGGATATTGATTAGTGCATATGTTCACTTAGTCCTACAGTCATCTCTTCAGAGGTAATGTTAATACGGGTAAGAATATCTTGGGTGTACAAAATAGCAATACTGGGAGCATAACCCCAGCCATGGAGAATTCTTGGATCAGAGCTGAGGCAATGAGGTGGGTTTTCACCACCCAAGAAGTTGTCAGTGTGTAATTTCTAAGTAGCACCTACAGTATTCACTTTCCAGTTAAATAGCATCTACAAGTATTCACTTTCCAAGGTGACCATAAAGTCTACCTAGTTTGATAGAGCACTGGAGAGATATTCTTGTTTCATTTTCATTAATAAACTCTAAACAAAACCTGTGGTATATTCTGAGTGATGATTTTGCAATTCCTTAATCAATGAATTTGAAAATAAAATGCTTATTCCATTCTAGAAAAATTAATAAACTAAAAGCAAATAATCAGTTCTAAAAATTATATTGTTTAGGAGAAGAGGGTCATATTTATTTTCCCAAAGCATCTTTCTGCTGTTGCAGTCACAGATGCACACTGTGGTCTCTGCTGGATCTGACTGCCACAGGATAGGCTGATAACCCTTTTGCCAACTTGTCAAGTGAGGCTAGTAGTATCCATTTTATCTGGTTAAAAAAACAAGGGCAAATCACTCTATTCTGTTTAAATATCTGTTGAGCTGTTACTGTACCTTCACAAGAAAGTATTTAAGAATGGACAAAGACCAAGGCAGATCAAAGTCTGAGACATTACTGTGCTGGCAGAGCTTGGTGTTACTCAGTGTAACGACAGTGCCTGAGATGGTTGACTCATAGCAATAAGGAGGCCTGGAAGATAGGAGTGGTCTGGAACATGTAAACTGAAATTTCAGTCTGCGGAGGCACAGATAAATATGACTTGTCATTTATTATTTTGATTTCTTTGGATTACAAGATCATAATTAATTACTAGGGAAGTCTTACAGCACCAAACACATGTGGGCTGTGCTGATGAGACTTGTAATATTTTTTTAGAAATTAAAAATACGTCAGTTACAGGGGAAAAATTGACTTACCTTTGCAAAGCAATGAAAGGCTGCTACAGGAACACAGGCCACACTGCAGGCCTCTAGGTGACCACAGTTGCAGCCATGAGAGGCAGAATCATCTTACACCCTTAACTGGAGAAACATGGTTAGCAAAGGAGATACAGAACTTCAGCAGTGCATGTTGCCACAATAAAAGGCACAGAATGTTCTGATTAGAACAGTCTTACAAAAGTACCTGACTTGCTCTTTGTGGGTTAATAGATGAAGAGAGGCTGACCTAGGAATCAGAGTCAGTACCACTGGGACCCATTCACAGGGTTATCTGCCAGCTAAACAGAGCCAAGGCAGGTTTTGCCAAGTTGCAATCTACGCAGCCTTATGTAATGCAAAACATTTCATGTCTTTACTAAGGTTAGCTGCAGGAGGTTTAGAATCATATTGTAGTAAGCACTCTATCTTGGTGTTCCCTAATTCATGACAGCTTGCACAATTACTTGGAAAACAAAATAATTAACACCTGCATCTATTCCCAGATGACTGATCCCTCCTGATTCCATGTGTAAATGAAAATGTAGACTGAAGATAGATATGTACAAAACTCCTGGTATAATAAGCAAAAAAAAGATTTGAGCAAATTCTTTTAAATTTCAAATGGAAAAGGCACCTGGAAGACTGAAAAAAAAAAAAATAATGACAGCCAACAAGACATTTATACATAACAGAAAACATACAGGGGTTTCTTCTAAGCTATTATTTACCTTCTTGTAACTGTCTACTATGGCCAAAAATACAAGGATATGGATATTGCTGAATCTGGGGGTATAGCTGGGTTTGTAGTGATTTATTTTTTGTTTTCTTTCTCCCCTGCTCATATTAATAGATCTGAATCTATCTTCTTTTTCTCATCCTTGTCTTGCTTTCATCTAGGCTTTGTTTACTTCTGAAAGAATAACATCTTTAAATTGCATCATTAGGATGAGAATACTAGAAAGGAAAATTCTGACCAGAAGGAGGTTTTCTTTTCACTGGCATAGCATGATCTTAAGTGTAAGGGAGAGGCTTAATCTCTAGTGCCCATGCTTCTGGATTTGGTCACATGTTTGTGTGCTTTGGAGGCTCCAGCCACATCCTGGAAATTGCAGCAGGCCGAAGTATGTGGTGGGTGGGTCTGCCCACAAGGGAAAAATGTATGAATCCCAACTCATAATAGTTCAAGGAAGAGACTTCATACTCACACCACTGCAGCCTGGCAGGGCCATAACCTCCTTCTGGGTTCAGAGCAGTATTCCTGCTATTATCATACCAAAATTAAAGAGAGCTTCAGATATTCAAGCTCTGAGCTCTTGAAAGTGACCAGTCCATTACAAATTTAAAAAGTACTCATTTCAAACTGAGGCTGATACATATGATTTTATGTTGATTACTTTAATGATTTTGTATTTTTTAAAGAATGCAACTACTTTTGCTGAGATGTATTGACTGTACTTATTTCCTTCAAATCCTAGTATTTGTTGGAGCAGGGAGGCTGGCTTATCTTCCCAGGGAGGCCAAATGGGCTCCACAGCCTCACTCCAAACATCCAGCTTAGGACTTCTACACAGAAAGGGCCATGACTGAAAGCTGTTGCTGGCCTACACCTTTTGGCAGCCCCTACACAGCCCCATCAACACAGGGGCTCTGTGCTTGTGCTGCCTCTTAAGGATCTCATTCACCTACCACCTCAAATTAGCCAGAACCCATGCTCAAAACAGAAAACCACCAATGAGGCTTCCCATGCAGACCTGAGCCAGGAGTGAGAGTTGTTAGTGGCTTTCACCTTCATTTGAGGCCCTAATCACAGCCCCACCCTCACGCATGTTCTGTGCTTGCATAGCCTCCAAAGTATTTATCTAACCTGCTGCCTAACTCTAGCCACAGGCCAGAAGAGAGAACCTCCACTGAAGTTCCCCACTCAGAATAGGTCAAGGCTAAAGCTGTTTGTAACTCTCAATTTTCCTTGGCAGTCCACTCGCACAATCACAAATACTAGTGCTTTTCACTTTCTTTTTCACACCTGCCCCTCACCCTATCCAAAGCTTTGGTTCAAAAGAGAAAGTTCTCCAGCTTGGGCTCCTGCTCAGGAGGGGCCAGGACATAAAGCTGTTGCAGGCCTGCTCCTTCCCTTGCAAGGCCCATCAACATGGGGATCTGAGCGTGTGCTGCCTTCTAAGGATCTCCCTCACTGTAGCAGAACCCAGGTCCAAAAGAGAAAACCTCCAGCACAGGTTCCCAGATGGAAGGCACCAGCAGTAACAGCTGCTGGCCTCATCTTCCCTTGGAAACCCATTCACAGCCCCACCAACGGTGCTGTTGTGCACGTAACTTCAACACCAAACCCTCCGCCTTCCCAGAGCCTGGGAAAGTAGAGAATAGCCATTGCATAGGGCTTCATGCAGAAGGGGCTGGGACTGAAAGCTGCTAGTAGATCTTTGTTTTCCATGGCAGGACCTTCACAGCACCACCAAACAGGTTCCTTGCATGCAGTGCTTCCCAGCGTGCGCCTCTTCCCACACACACCTACACCCCCAGGCCTCTCCTCACAGTCCCCAGCTCTGCCTTCCCCAAGGCCCCTGTATGATCACGGAGACGGTGGCTCCAGGAACTAGCCTGCTGCAGACTCAGATCCTCCACCTCAGCCCCCTCAGGGCTCCCCTTTCCCCATGTCCCGGGGTCACAGCCCAACCTGCCAATTACAGCCCAACCCGCCCCTCTCCGCCTATCAGTGCCCACCTCGCTTCCCGCCTCCGCTCCGCCCACATGGGCAGCTCCCTGAGCCTCGTCCCCTGCCCCGTCCTTGGCCCGCCCCCCCGCCTCCGACAGCCAATGGGGGACCGGGCGGCAAGCGGGGTGTGTGAGGGAGCGGCAGTTGCTCACTCGCCCCTTGCTCGCATCGCTGTCCTGCTTAGCCTGCCCTGCCTCAGTGCCGGTAGCCGCCATTCCCTCAGCAGGTGAGCGTGTGTGCGGTGTGTGTGCGGTGTGTGTGCGGTGTGTGTGCGGTGTGTGTGCGGTGTGTGTGCGGTGTGTGTGCGGTGTGTGTGCGGTGTGTGTCTGCGCGCGCGCGGGGAGCCCCGGTAGCCGGCACCGAGCCCCTGTAGATGTGGGGCGCAGGTCCACGGCCGCCGGCTTTCCCGGCGCGGCTGGGCTCAGCTCCGGCACCTGGAGCCTCTGGGTGTCTCAGGGGAACGGGGTAGGGGACAGCGGTGGCCGTGTTCCGAAGTGCCCGGCTGATTCACTGCGGGCTTCCGCCCTCCCCCACGCTCCCCTCCTCCCTTCCCCATCCAGGACGCGCCCACAAGCGCACCGCCGTCCACGCTGGGGCTGAGGGAGGACGAGACCAGAGTCAGGCGGACGGGCTCGGTTGGTCTGGTTTTAACCTAATTATTATTAGGGCAAGCGTGAAGCTGCGTGGTAAATGTGCGAGTGTGCCGGGTGCTGTTTCCCTAAACGGGGCTTGTCCTTGCGGGAGGAAAGTGTGACAATGCAGGGAGGGTGGTGTGAGCGGGGCTGCATCCCGGCGATGCCGGCGGGCCAGTGAGGGAGGAAGGAAAGGCCCTTACGGTGTCCTTGGCACCCAGCCTGCCTTTTCCCCTGGCGTGTGGATTAGTGCGCTACTGCCGCAGATGAGGGAGCGGGAGGAGGCACGGGGCAGCAGGAGAGTCACCGATCCACGAAGATGACAGCGGTGACCCGCAGCTTCGCGGGTTAGTGGCGCTGCTTTGACCCTTTGCCAGGATGAGTTTCAGCTCTGTAGAAGTGTGCGTGCGGCTTGATGCAAGCGGGGCGTTTGCAAGTGTGCGGAAACTGAATACTAAGTGTGTGTGTGAAAGACTGGTCCATATGCTCATGTGATTGCAAGAAATGAAACCTCTAAAAACTACGGTCGCTGCAAACTGTTTTTGAGATAAACCACTTTCTGTCGGTTTTGTTCATGGTGTGGGAGGTTTACTGGCTGCGATTGCTAATTAGACTTGTTGCAGAAGGTATGTTAAGATTTTTGCAGCATCTGGGGACTTTTTTTTTTTTTTTCCTCATTTTTTCACAGCTTTCATTAGTTCCACTATGGTTTTTGGCTTAAATAGAAGAAAAAAAAAAAACACAAACAAACAAAAAAAACAGCCAAGCTAAAATATGACTTCAGTTGTAATAGATCCATACTAGTGTTGATGGGACTGTGACAGGAAGCACCTTGTCTGGAAGGAGAGAAGTGCAAAGCAGCATCAAAACAAATATCTCATTCTTCCTCTTGCCTGGCAATTTGTCAGCACTTAAAGGACAATCACATTGGAACTCTGCAGTCCAGAGGAGGTTACTGGACAGAAAACTACTGCTTCCTTATCACATGTTTGTAAGAGTGTAGCACTGAGAAATGGGAAGATCTAATGCTTTCTTTCTCCTTTCCTTAAGCAATTGTATTTTCCTGAGTGTCAGACCTCTTCAGTTTCCTGATCTAGAAGCTCTTATGTCTTATGGCCACTGTGAATGGATGCTATATAAAAGATGTATTGTAGTCTTCAGTGGTAATTATCAGGTTCTTTTCCTGTTTTGACCATACTGATATGTAAACTAATAATTACCAGTTAATAATAGCACGGGTGATACTGGTAAGCACTAGGTGAATCTTTATTAGTTTAGGAAATGTATTACATGATTACGCAGGCACAGGGCTTTGTCACAGCTGTGACTTGAAGAGCCCTCAGATCTAGTTAGCTTTCAAATTTGGGTAAGTCACAGCCTTGATTCCAGAGCGCCTTCCAGGTATAAAACGTTAATCTTGGTGAAAGAAAACTAACGTCAAACAAGAGGGGTTTTGGCACTGAACCGGAATAGGAACAGTTCAGTTGCACAAGACAAGTGCACCTTTTCTTTCTCCTCCTGGTTTTGAGATGTCATTGCTTCCTCCATGGCCCGCGGCCCTTCTCCCGGGACTGCCGCGGCCTGGCGCTGGCAGTGCCCCGGGGCCGCCGGCGGAGGGGGAGACCGGGGCCGGTGCCCGGGACGGGGCGGGGCCGGGCCGTTGTTGGACTGCGCGGCGCTGCGGCGGCGCGACCTTTCCCCTACTTCTTGGGAGCGGTCACGTGAGCAGGCGCGGCGGGGGGGAAGGGGTTGAGCCGGCAGATTCCCGCGGTGCGGCGCGGCGCACGCAGCAGAGTGAACACCACCGAGTGCCGGCTCTGGAGCGGCCGGCGAGCAGCTGTGTGCTGGGCACGACCGTGCTCGTTTGCTGCGTGCAGGGGTAGGCGCTTCCCGAGCGTGACGGGTTTTGGAAAAGCTTGGGTAAAAGGCGACCTAAGTGAATGGTTGTCTGTAACACAAAACAAACAACAAACAACCTTCTCTTTCCCTCTCTCCCCAACTGTATTTTTTTTAATATTCCCAAACCATTTTATTTGTTCTGCAGCGTGCTGTGTCATAGTCCTGAACTATGATCAGAGGGCTGGAGCACCTCTCCTATGAAGACAGGATGGGAGAGCTGGGCTTGTTCATCCTGGAGAAGGCCCCAGGGAGACTCTAGGCACCCCCAGTGCCTAAGGGGCCCACAAGAGATCTGAAGAGGGCTTTTGACAAGGGCACGTCAAACAGGATGAGGAATGTCGAATATGACAGGACAAGAGTGAATGGTTTTAAACTGATACAGGGAAGTTTTAGGAATGTGATATTAGGAATTTACTGTGAGGGTGGTGAGGCCCTGGCACAGGTTGCCCCCAGAAGCTGTGACTGCCCCATCCCTGGCAGTGTTCAAGGCCAGGTTGGATGGGGCTTGGAGCAACCTGGTATAGTGCAAGGTGCCCCTGCTCATGGCAGGGGTTTGGAATTGCATGAGCTTTAAAGGTCCCTTCCAGCCCAAACCATTCTTTGGTTCCAAATGTTCAGAAAAACAAGATCTAAATGACTGAAAAGCAAGCCTGGATTTTGAATGATCAATTTAAATATTTAAAAAAATGTTTGTAACCAGTTATTCAGTCTTTCAACCCTGTACAGGCTGGAAAGACCTTATTCAGGTCTTTCCACCTTGTACAGTAAAGTATCTCCTGCAAGAGCAATTCATTCAGTTTGCCTTTGGTCACCAAACATTGTCTCTCTTCTAGGACCTGCAGAGTCTTAAAATGTGACATCATGCATGTCTCTTAGAAGTCCTGCCATTCCAGAAATATTTGCTGTTACAGTGAAGACACTAATTCTTATTTGCTGCATGAGCATAGAAGCTCATTAATGCAAGAAGAGTGAGAGAAGGGATAAAATTCATATAATCTCAATGCCTGGTTTTGTTTTTTATAGCAATATTAAAAAGAAATACCCAGATGTAGAGCCTACTTTTTAAAGGGGTGAGGGAGGCTTCTGCATTATATGATAACTGCCTGTGGTTTAGTTTTATATGCTTATCTCTTACTCAGCAAGATTATTCTGAATTTCTAAAAAATCGGACAAGGTAGCTTTCTGGGGTGTGTATGATAATAATATGTACTGCAATAGAGACTAGAATAACCTAAAAGTTCTAGGAAAAGTATAGGATGTCCTACCCTGTATAGGGGGGAAATAACCTGTAAATAATATGACAGTTGTAAAAAAAAATATTTTTATTACATTTGTGGAGCATGTCAGTGTTTTGGAGTCCCTTTTTTTATTGGAGTGTACATTTCTAAAGCATCTTTTACAGGACCATCCTATTTGAGAAGATGAGAGGCCATATAATTCAGAAACTGTAGGGATTGCTATTCCTTTGTGGTAGCCTAGTAATTAACACACTGTTTACTATAGCTAGTCTTCTCTACTACTTTGCTGTGACAAGTTTGATCAGGTGAGAAGACAACTTATTATCTGTGGTTTTTCTGCTTAAAGTACCAGTGAAAACTTTTCTGTGAACATCTCTCCAAGAAAACTTAATGGCATGTGTTGACTGGAATGGATGTTAAAAGTTTGCAGGCAAACACTTGGATGTCTCAAACTGAAGTCTGAAACTAGAGTTGGAGTCTAGCTGCTGAGATCAACTTGCTCATCACACTAGCTAGTGTTCACTATTGAGCCCTCAGAAATTACTAAATGAGTAGCAGACGAGCAAAGTTTCACTCCACAGTTGCTCACCAACTCAATCCTGTTAAATGAAGACAGATTGATCTAGACAGTACATTTATCCAGTGCAGTGGAAAACAGTGTTTCAGAACTGCTGTTTGTGACTATTCACCCCACTGCTGTCAGTATTTCTAAAGTGCTTCCAGTCTGATCCAGTCCCTCTGAGCAGTTGAAAGCTGTGTGTGAATTAAAGCTCAATCTGTTTTTCTTGACTTTCTGTTTCAGAGCTGCAACTGACTGCCATTGCTGTAGTGTGATGTCTATTGAGAGCTAGAAGTATTGGAATGAATCTGCCTCTTATTGTTTCCTAACCCATTCAAGATTCCTGCTGCAGTGAGCTTTTTGGACAGATTGGATTTCTGTGTGAGAAACAGATCTCAAGTCTGCTTTTAAAGAAGACAGCTGTTCAGGTATGCTTACATTTCATTCACTGATCTGTCTGTTGTTATCTCTTCCCTTCCATATATACTCACCCCACTTTACTACTTGGGAAGGGGATAAAGAAATTGGCCCAAGATTCCAAAGGAGATGCCTGCAGAGTGTAGCTAATATTCACACACAGCTGATCTTGGAGAATTGCTGAGGACGAGACACAAGCTGATAGGTTTGTCAGTAGGACAGCCAAATTACTGCAAGCTCTTTAACTGTTCTGATTCCAAACTGTATGCTGTAAGTGATGTTTGCAGTAGGTCACAGTGTTGCTGTACCTGGGAAAATACATGTATTTAGTTCTCCACTTTGGCTTGAACTACAGCATTTTTTAATTTTTTAGATGTGAGAGATTCTTTAAGGCTCTTACAATTCCAAGGGACCACAGCTGTTGGCTATAGATTAGAGTGGGAATGTCTGGAGCCAATGATTAGCAATAACCAAAGATGAAAAATTATATGCCAAATGATTGCTGTTGGAGGAGAAGCTTTTGTCTCTTTTCAAGTGACCTAAGCCACTTCAGTCATAGCATAATAATTTTACTTTGGAGACCCTGTGAGAACTGCCACATAAACAACAAATTCCGCTTTTAGGAGTCTTAAACTGATTTTAATTTTAAAACTGCATAAGTCAGACACAGCTAAAGTAGCATGGAAGGGCCTGTCAGTTTAACTTCATTTTCGTCAATTAGTTATGATTTGATCTGAATGCCATATTAATTCAAGTTTTAAAGGAGAGCAATTCTTTGATTTCTGATTTATTTCTATTCCATAGTCATTATATTTACCTGAGAAGCCCTGTTGAATTAATTTAATCTATGTGACAATTTATTGCTCAGAAATTATTTGGCTTAACTCCTTTCAGAGTTCTTGTAATGAATTTGTGCCTGTAGAATATGATTAACCATTACAAGGTAGGTGAGTTATTGGTAAGACTTAAGAGCAACAGGTATCAGTATCTTGTATGCTTAAGCATGATTAGGTATTATTGAAGGTTAGTATGCAAGGAAGACATAGAAATTCTCCAGAGAATAACAGCATCTGGTTAATCTTTATAGCAAGTTCAGAAGTCAGTGCTTTGCAGAATATCACGTGAACTGTGAATAACCTGGCTAATCTGTCTGAGACTTTGATGCCTTGTTACCTTATTGCAAAAGTGTAGCATTACTGTAAGAAAGTAGCATTAGCTATCCAAGAAACAGATACAAAAGGAACCAGTCTTTGTAGTCATATGTGTAAATGTTTGAGCTGTGCATTTTGTACTGCTTACTGAAGATTTTGTAGATCAAAACCTGTATTTCCTTTGAAAGACATAAAATTCTACACCTCTCTGATCTTTGGGGTTCTGTTAAACTGAATGTTTTGGCTTTAGTTTTAACTTTGTTCAACTGTGCATCTCAAGAGCACTAGATACACACGAGTAAAAGCAGTTTTGGTACCCTTTTGATGTTCTCTGGTCAGCTGCCTTACTTAATTGATCCTCTAGCATTAGGAGCAGGATTATTTGGGCATTTATGTCAGATAGTGGTGGGGAGACAGTTACTCCCATAAGAGCAGATGGGACCTTGAGTTACTGAAGTCAGACACTACAGTATATACTGTAGAGCATACACTGTAGTGACTGAAACTGTTGCATTTATAGCAAACTCCATGAAAACACATTAATGACTTCATATTGACTCATCCTATTAAATTAAGAAAGCCTGTATTACCAATAATAAAACCAATGTTTCTTCTAGATGGGTATATAGATGTAACATTGAATTTCAATAGCTTATTTTCATCAGGAGTTTGTACTGTTTGCTTCCATATCACTGCTATATATATGGCACTTAAGTTGAGTTCCAGAAATCTACCTGCTGCCTTAGAGCTAGCAGACTCTCATTGGACAGCATAATAGTGTTTAAAATACCAACACACACTTAAGAACCTTGTAAAATGACACACTGGTGCTTTCTAGTGAGGGCAAAATTACTGGAATAATGTTGAAAAATTAAGATGAATCATTGCCTGAAAAGTTCATGTAAAATCTCTGTAAAAATTCTACTGCAAAATCCAGCTTCTTTTCTCTTCCAAACTAATAGTACATTTTTGTCAGTTGTAGAAGATTTGCTCTTTTTCAGTGTTTGACTGTTATTACCAATTTGACTTCCAGGGTGTTCTGTTCATTTAGAACAACTGAAGCGCAGGATTTCTTGTTCAGGCCTTAGTGTTCTAAAGTAAGATTTTTCTTTCATTATTATTTTTTAATTTCTTTTAATTTTTTTTTAAGCAGAACTCTTAGCACTCCTACATTAAATTTCGTGACCTATCTCTGCTAGGTATACCATTAAAACTGTATTAAAAATAGGATTGATGCTTCAAGCCCTTAATCCTCTTAGTGGCTCTTCACTGGACTCTTTCCAATAGTTTCATCTCTTTCTCTTACTGGGGAGCCCAGAACCAGACACAGTAGTTGAGATGGGCCCTCGACAGCACTGAGTAGAAGGGAAGAGTCACCCCCTTCAGTCTGGTGGTAACACTTCTCCTAATTCACCATAGAATTCTGTTTGCTGCCTTCGCTGCAATGGCACCTTCCTGGCTTGTGTGCAACTTGCTGCAGAGCTATTTTCCAGCATTCAGTCTCCAGTGTGTACTAGTGTACGGGTTACTCCTCCCTAGGTGCAGGACATGGCACTTCTGTTTATTGAACTTTATAAGCTTTCGGCCTGCCTGTTTCTCCAGAGCCTGTTGAGGTCCATTCGGGTGGCAGTGAGCTCCTCCCTTGTTTCAGCCCCTGTACTCGTAAATCCATCTGCAGTTTGGTCCTTTCCATTTTTATTTCTTTTTTCCTCAACTTTTTGACAGCTACCGCTTTTCTGCATCGAACATCTGGAAGTGTCAAACTGATAAACTTCAGAACTTCTGCAGATTTCGGACAGGTGAAGACATACTTGATGAATGTTACTAAGGCAGCTGCACTTATAAAAAATGTTTTGGAAGACACTAACCCTTTGCATTTGCGTAAGAATAGGTCCTGTTGCTTAAGTGATACATTTTTGGGGCGTTGGAGAACTTTGAGTATTTTTCAACAGAAACAAACTTAAGCAAACTTGATTATCTGTAGACTGCATCTACATCTGGGATGCCTGTGTAGATCAGTGTTGCCATTGAACTGTGGTTGGTGGCAAAGTGTGGAAGTAAATTTATTCACTAGAAGTTATTTTGGGATGTTGGTACTGGCTTTGTTGTGCTTTACTACATAGGGTAGTCTGACCTACTTTGTGTAGGTGGTATGAAAGCTTTGGAATTCTCTTGCTTTAGCGTCTGGTATGAAATTAACAGATTTGAGCATAAAGAATTACTCACTGATTTCTACAAAACAGAATGCATTAACAGTTTTTGTCTTCTAGGACAGCAGAAAATGCAGATTTCTGGTAATAGAATAGTGTTTTCAATATTTAAACAAGTTTCAGAAAAGTCTCTTCTTAAGAGAAACTGTTGGAGCTCCAGAATTGTTTTCTGTTCTGTATGACTGCTTGGAACATTCAAGCAGTAACTCTTACTGCTTTGCATGTTGATAGAAATGGAATTCCACCCCCTTTTTTCCTTGAAATAAACTGTTCTGGGGACAAAGACATTGGAGCACTTGCTTTGTTTCCCAAGAACTTCTGAATTCAAGGTGTCTAGTTTTAAATGGAAATCTTAGTATAGTTCTAAGTATGTTTCCTAACTAAATTTGGCTTTAACGTACTTACAACCACTATCTCTCTTCAATTCCCATCTTTAAAACTTCCTTAAACAATGTAACTGTAAATGATGCAGTACCCTTGTTTTTTTCTGCAGCAGTCTATCCCTATGTGAAACCTGAATGCCAAGCTAAATTTTGAAGTTGTAAGTTTATTTTTAAAAGGGAGTGAATTCTTTAAGGTTGGTTTTTTTGCTTCTCATTTCCTTATTGGTGGTACCTTGCAGCTGTATGATGTTACGAGGGCTTCCAGGTGCTTCAGAATTCAGAACTGCCATCATACTTCAGGATTAGGGTTATGAAATCTACAGAAACAAACTCAATAGCATTTCCAAAATTAATGCTTCAGGAATTAATTCCTTGTTTTGTGCAATATACTGCAATACGTTTAATTTTTGTATCATGGCTTGGTGCTTTTTAAGATGCACATAGCAATTCTTTCACTGTCTTTTAGACATTGTGTTCTGTGTTATGTTCTTCAGAGGAACATTACCAACCACAGGTGACTTCTTGCATGCCTGACTAAATGGAAGCATCCTACACTCTCTTTTAGCTTCAGATTTTCCAGGACTGAGGCCCTCATCTCCTCCTGTGGTTACAGGAGCACATAAACCCCAGTACAGAGCTGAATATTCAGTGTCTGCAACCTGAAATCATAAGGTCTGTGAGCAGTCTGTGAGTTAAACCTCCATCTTCATAGTATAAATATCATGAAACTGCAGAAATAGCAGTCTGAGGAAGCTTCATGCATAGTAGTCATAGCAGCATAGTTTTTCAGAACATTAGGTCTGTCAGGACTTGGGCCTTCTGGTATGCTGTTTTCTTGACTTAAAAGTGACATTTAACCCAGCAGTTCTTGTTTATAACAATGGAAAAAGATGTGGTAAGTTTGGATTGGCTCAAGCAGAGGTATGAAAAGGGAAGAGGAGAAACATCTGCAGTTGTTACAGCATGTCAGAACTGAGGTAAAACCAGAAAAGTGCAAGAGGCAACTTTCTCCTTTAACTAAAAACAAAACCAGCACAACCCTCCAGCTTTAAAGGGACAAGTGTGTATTTTAAGATACATTAAGGAGAGAACACTGAAAGGAAAGAAAATAGCTGTTATCAAAGTAATCTATTACTTTTAGATTACCTTTAGAAATCATTGTGAATTGTTTTTCCCCTTTAAGCAGGACTCAGCCAAACTCCCAATAAAATCAAAAGCTCTTGTTTGTAGCTCTCTGTTGGGAATGGGGTTAATTGGTATACGCTGTACAGAAATATTTTGCTGACCAAAATGCCTGAAGTTAGAACTTATTGTTTCAGTGTTAGCTGATTGATGTGGGCGCTGTCCTACGAACATTAGCAAGTCAAGTTTGTAAGTCTCAACGCATGCTCCTCTAGCCTGTGCCCTTTTACCTACTTAGCTAGCAAGCACGTGACAGCAGAGGAATGCAAAGCAGGGGAAGTGTGCAGCCGCTTATGATTAAATAGGCTTTTAAGGAGGAAAATAAATATTCAAAGACAGGGACTTCAGGAAGTCGTTAGTGTTCAGCCATCGTAATTCAGAACAATCTTAAAGGCTTGAGAGTTTTCTAAAGGAAAGGGATATGAAAAAAAAACCCCAAGATTTTTGATTGTTTCACATCTCGGGATCAAGTAATACAGTCCTAGAACTAGGCTTGTCTTTGTTTTCCGGGCTTGTTTACTTGATTCAGGATTAATTCTTGTTGGATTAGCATTTTTCTCATTTGTGAATAAGGAATATTTTCCTTATTGAAGCTTATTGACTTTTTATTTATAATCTTTTCCTGCTTTGGACAGTAGAAATGCATATGCCTAAAAGGGGAAGGGTTCTTGAAATTCTTGCCTTCAGAAACAGAGAGGAGTGTAGTTAGAAGGTCACAGGGGAGTTGAAGGGTAATAGAAACTAGTCCACCTGGTAATTAAGACACTGGCATTCCAGAATACAAAATCCAGTGAGTGAACTGGAGAACTGTTGACCCTTCTTGAGACAAATCCAGGTGCCTGATTCTCTGTATGGGGAGATAGTTGTTTTTGTTGGGAGCATGTGGGGGTTTTCATTTGTTTGTTTATCCCAGTCTTAATAGCACTACGTCATTGCTAAACATATGAAGAATTCTTAACTTCGAGTGCCTTTTGCAAACCCTGTTAAGTGCAGGGTATACCATGGATTGCTGCAGCCTGTCTCCATTTTATTGCTCTCTTGCAGTTTTGGTCTCAGTGTCCAAGCATACAATTTAAATGAATGAAGGAACAGCTGACTTTGACTTCCTGATACTTGCCTCCAGGAAGGCCCCTGTGAATAAGCAGTTTTTAGTGACAGAGTCATTAATTACTACAAATAGCAGCTTTTATTAGGGCATACAGGGCTTGTCTTAAAGGTTTTGAAACTGATGTTCAAAGCTGATTTGATTTCTTTGTTGTCCTAATCGGACACTGT